ATTTATATATTAATGTTACTTAAAATAATTTTTAATTTTTATAAGTAATTTTATGTAGGTATATAGAGTCGTACAATACTTGTCTTAGCATAATATACTTCAAAACATTCTCTTATTTATTGGAAACGCATTCAAGTTTATATTTAATGTAGGGAATGCATTCATAATTAATGGTTGCTTCAGATCATTTTTATCGACGCTTAAAATATTCTAATGAATGTATATAATATGTAGATATAGTACTATGGCAATAATCTGCTACTTACAATATTGAAGACATTAATTTATTAGCGGTTAAAAATATTTATTTATAAAAATAGAATAATTTAATCCACATAAATAGCTTCACAGCAATAATTGTGTCAACATAATCGTCCCTTGCCCTAGACATTCAAGTGATTTTATATTTGACCTTTTTTATAAATGACCCGTACAAGTGGGCTATTTATTTTCAAGAGTTTATAACCTCTATGTAACCTACCTGAACCTCCGCTGGGATAACTTTACAGAACTTACGGTATTTTTAGTGGTGTAATATTATTTGCTTGCCATCTGAGACGCAAATATCTTATCCATCAATGTATTCACTGTGCGGGTGCCGGGTCCATCGTTGCAGGGAGAGGAGCCTCAACAATGTCTGGGACTTGCGACCCAGATGTAGGTATAAGGGGCCCCCTATCTAGCGCGCATTAAATGCTCACCTCCACCATCCAAGCTCCTCTCTATACCTAAACTACTACTAACCGTAACGTAAAAAATATGTAGGAATGTATACATTTTGTCCTCTATTGCAAATTGAACAAGAATTGACATATTATGTTTAATATTTATAAGACTTAAAGATCTTTTGTAGACAAATAAACAATTCAAATACAATTAACATGCACAACCTTCTCGGAAATATGGAATCAAAAGGAAAGCTTACACTAAAATGTGTTATAAGAATAATTAGCATTATAATATAAGCAAAACAAACTTTCTTACGAATTCATTACGTGGTTTCTATGAATAAATTATATAGTTTATAATATTACTTTCACAGCAATGTACATCTACATGCAATGTAATGTCTAGGACTACTTAACGACTCTCGATCTCTGTGAATAATAGATGTATAATGAGTTTATGTCTGGCTTGAAATTAATATTATAAAACAACTTCACACGCCCTATAATATAAGGATCACCATATTAACAGCTGTTATGAATAAATAAATTTGGTTTGTGATTATACATAAATAAATTCCACAACCATCAAGATATTTACGAAAGAAAAATAAATAACACGGCAACTTCGTATTAAAAGGATTTCCGAACGAATAATATGTATTTCTAAAACAGAAATATTAATTTATTTTAAAATATGTTCAATTTTTATTAAGAAACTTGTTTATTTAAACAAATGTTTTCTAACTTTTAAATAACCTTTTTCATTAATGTAGAATCAAAATAGTAATGAAAAAAAGAGAATTGTGTAAACTTATTGCTTACTTTTTTTATTTACATATATTTGCCAATAAGACAAATCAGTTATTATTATAGTCTTCACAGTTTTACAGTTTAATACGTTGTAAAAACATTAACAACATTTTTACTAGGACGGCAAATGATAACAATTTAATTATCTGTAATTTAATTATTATCAGATAATAAATATTTGGTTTTGTTTAATATAATAAGGTATAATTATCTTTTAATAATTATAGTACAATGTTTGTATTTATTAACATATTATGTTTTGCTGTTAAATGTGGCAGAATATCATGAACTTTAATAGCAACTAATTTAGTCATCGATTAAATTATAAAGTTTCAATAATTATATGATGAAGCACGGCTGTCAAAATAGTAGATATTTAACACTAAATCAGGCCCCATATGTATTGACATTAAAATTATTATTAATTAGGAACTACATAGTTTGAACTTTGATCTCGTTACTGATAACTGGCAATGAATTTTGTTTGTTACAAAAGTCAATCTGTCATTGTATATGTCACTGAACAACGTTATATTTTTATTTCAAACTAGTTTTTGCCCGCGACTTCGTCCGCGTTAGTTTGGTCAAGAGTAATATATGTAGGTATAGCTGACCAGGCGAACTCTATTCCGTCTTAGAGGCCATAAATAATCAAGTTTTTCCTGTTTCAATCAAACAGAATGATTGACATATTAGTTAGTTGTCAAATCTAATGTCAAAAAAAACGTTTGTATGGGAAATAGAAAAGGGCTGTTTTTAGAGTTTTTCCGTCAATTATTCCAATTTTTCTCACCTTTTAAACCTGCCCTGGACTTCCAGGAGTATTTCAAGACTAAAATTAGCAAAATCGGTTTAGCCGTTCTCGAGTTTTAGCGACACTAAGGAACAGCAATCCATTTTTATATATATAGAAGATTCCTCTCATATCATACTACTTCAGACGGGTATATGACATATAAATTATAATGACCACTTTCTTTGAATAATGATTTTTCCTAAATAGATTATTTAGTAAAAAACGTTTAGCTTCACACAAAACATACAAATATTGGTAATCATATAAAGGTTTTGTGAATTAAAAAAACGACAAAGATTACGATAAAACTCCAATTACCTAGGTGTTCATATATCGTAATGTCTGATTAAGGATTAAAGCCAAAACCAAATATGTAATCATATATCTATAAAAATACTTTCTGTGGTCTGTTTTTATTTGTTATAATTTGTACTAATATGGAAAAATATTTTTCATTGACTGCTTCGTTGTTATTTACAAGCCAATTTCTAAACAAGCTTTATTTATAGCGTGAAGTAACCATTTTGCAGTGACAGGTTATTTAGTCTGAGACCGTGTAACGACATTTACATCTTCCGCAGTAATTATTACAACGCTTTAGTTTAAATATAGAAGTTAAATGTAGGTTTTATTATTTAAAATAAGTGAATCCATAGCATAAAAAAAATTAAGAAGATTGTTTGTTATTTAAAGTTCTTTGACTTTTAAATTGTGTTATAAAAATTTTGAATATTTATTTGTCTTAAAAAGCATAAACAAACATAAATACAAAATTTTATCACAATTTTAACGTTTTTCTAAAAATCCTTTTATAGTGTATATTTTTCGTTTAATTTTGATAACCACTTTAAAGGAAAACAAGGACTCTACATCCTCAACGATTTTGGGAGTTTTTTCTCACCAAACAATATTGAATTTTTAACTTTAAATTTTTTTAAACCTAGACATAAAAAAAGTCCTTGATCCTTTTTTAATGTACAGAAAATGAAATACTAACCTACATATTAATTTTAGAACTAACTATCTTAAAGACATAACCAATAGGCACTGGTTTTTAATTGTTTCCTGATTTTGTACTATTATAGTTATTCTATGAGTATCTCCAAATTGTTGACGTTACTCCCGAGTCCCAACAGTCAAACATGAAACTTCAAATAACTCAAGTTAGGGACAGTATGGAAAATAATAAACCAAAAGTTGTAGAAAATATTTTTTTCTTTAAAAGTAAATTGCTAATAAAATATAACTAATAAAAATAAAAATGCTTACTGTAGAGATATATTTTACATGGAGTCAAAATGAACCCCAAAGCTTCTTCCCTACTAATATTATAAATGCGAAAGTAACTCTGTCTGTATGTCTCTCTGTTACGCTTTCACGTCTAAACCACTGAACTGATTTTAATGAAATTTGGTACAGAGATAGAGTTGACCTTGATAAAGAACATAGGATAATTTTTATCCCAGACTTTTGAAAGATTTTCTTGGAAACGCGGTATAACCGAACTCCACGCAGGTGAAGCTGTGGGCGGAAAGCTAGTTATAAATAAAAAAGGTTTCTTCCTGCGTATTACTACTACGTCTTAAATATTATCAGAACTCGTAATATTTCATAAATCATGTTGTAATTATTGTAATCAAGGTTAAGAAAGAACGGCATATATTGTAGATATTAATATATTAAATTGGTAATCATTTACTTCTAGGTAAACTTTGCAACTTTAAATACCTACATTACCTACCTTCTTCAAGTTTCACTTCTTCCGAGTGAAGGGACTCCACGCACAATTAATTATTTTTATGTTAAGGAGTCTTGTTTTGTGTCTAGAGAAACCAAATAATGAACAAAAGGACAATTCTTAGCATTATAGGAATTTCTTAAGGGTTTTTAGGATAATTTTCCTATCAGCTTTATTTTCTTTACTATAATCTACCCTACTGTATACTCTTCATGTGTACCGTTGAACTTAACATTATGTTGCTGTTCATATTAAATTATATTAACAAAAAAAAAAGTTTAGGAATTTCAGTCACTTTTCCCCAGAATGATACAACAATTACAAATTAGTGTAGAAGAAAATACTTATACTAATTTTTCATTTTAAGACATTAATTTTTATATATAGATAAGTACTCTAATGCTATATATTATACAATACCATAAAACTACACCCGCAGATACATTAGAGATATAATGTTCAAAGATATAACAAGAGTATTTATAAAAAAACACTTTATATTTTTTAATGTCCTGGCCTGGAGAGTAAAGATACGCCTCTCGTGCATGAGGAAGCGGGTTTGAAACCAGCAACTGTCCATGTGATTTTATTCCGAGTCATATGTACTTTCTAAGAGTATTTAGTCACCACTGACAGATGGTGAAGCTATAATTTCAATTATAAGTTTGATATACCAACCCATCTTGAGCAATCTCCATGTGAGGAGAGGCCTTTGCTCAGCAGTGGTGATGATGATACCAACACAACTACAGTATTCAACCAAAGTCTACAAAATTCTCTATTTAATTAATGGAGAATATCATCATCACATTCATTCATCCGAACATATTAATATACCTATTGGTAAATAATAAATGTATAAAATAACAATTATCACAACCCAGTTACATATTAAACTCTAATTAATTTTTTTATAATACCAAATGATAAAACTTGTTTTCATAAATAATTTTATTTATAACTTATTACTAATATATCTATTCAGTAGCTACTTCTTGACTCCTCTTATTCTTAATTCTAGTTCTAAATAAGCTCTCATCGAGGGGTCGTCAATGTTCTTCATTATCCGTTCAGCAATTTCCGGGCCAGCATTATCCATTTTGGATGAAAGTGCTTCAGCCCACACAATGAACACACAGTTTGCACAACCAGATTGACAGCATGCTGTTGGTGGCTCATCTAAGGAGGCCTGAAAATATATAAACTTATTAAAAAACTGAATATTTTGATATTTCATCAAGCAATATTTTAGTAAAAATTATCACATGAAGGATTTATATATAGCTAATTATTGTTGTCGCAATAATTATCATTATATATTAGTTTTATACAAGCACTAATGGATATGTAAATTTATTTATTTATTTATTTAACTCTTTTTGGTACACCATGATTACAAAACAAACAATTACAAAAAATACAAACTAATATACTATTGGGGAAACAAAAGGCGGCCTTATGGCTTATTAGCCATTTCTTCCAGACTATCTTGGGTTAGAGGATTGCGTTTGGAAGACAGTATAGGGTGGTGCAATATTAAATATTCTTAAAATAAATATAACCTCAACACATACAAAAATAAATAACAGTAATAAATATTCAATAATATACATACATATACCAATAAATACATACTTTATATTCATACATATACAAATACATATAAATAAATATATGTTATTAAATATACCAACTTACATTTTGCATTATCCTTTGTATTTCCTTTTCCTTCTCTTTTTCAGCATCTGTTAAATTCGATTGGTCACACAATGTTCTTGAATAAACTTTACATTTTCCAAGAAAATTTCTGTAACAACTTCTGGTTTTCTGTAAAAATGTACTGGATGAATTAAAAATTACTTATATAACAAAATACACAATTATACCATGTAGTACTCACAAGCATTACTCTTCATATTATAAATTTAGAAAAATATCGAAATGGGTAAATGACAAACAAGTTCTCTATTATTATAGATTTATTGTGCGACTTAAAAAACCAAATTAGTTATTTTTCGTGTTGGAATAAACACCTTCAATTCATTATTACTTCAAATTTCATAGACAATTTTAAATGTCATTATTAAATTTAATAAGCTATTTGGTGGTCCAATAATATGATCTGAAATATATTAATTATGAAATCTGATTTTTAAGTTTTCCGTGATTAAATTTTTATATTTGTTACATATATTTTTACAGTTTTTTTTTATTTACCAACAAAAAGTTATTATGCTTGCAAGGCCTTATGAGATTAAATTTAAAAATACACTTTAAATGATATGATTTATATTATGTTCATTTATTATGTCTGCGAAAAAATAATAATAAATACGGACACTTATAAGTCAGGTTTAAAATAAAAAAAAACAGCGGTGCAAAAATAGCTATAAGAAATGAAAATATCAATTTTTACAATTCATTGTGTAGTATTTGTTTTTTTTATATTTATGAATATTGCTTTATTGATTTTTGGTTGTAATTAAAAAGTTCTAGATCACAGACCATAGACAGGACAGTTTGATTACAACCAAAAGTTATAAAGTCGCTGGGTTCACTATCGGTTACCGGAAGCGTTTCGGGCTTTCGGCTGTCATTCAGCATTTTTGATCTATAGATTTTTACAAATAAGTTACTCATTTTTGGACCTATACTCTTTATTAATGTTAGTTGTTATTCCTTGACATTCGTGTCTGTTGTATCCACGTTTCCACGAACGTAATTAAAGGTAAGTTTGCCTAATGATAAGCATCGCTGAGACAAACGCTGGAATGACGAAGGCGATGTCCTCTGTTATTGTACAAACTACATAGGCGTGTGTCGGTGAAGTCTAATAGATATAAATATCTGTTCCACAAATACTAACTCGTTACAACACTAAGTAGAGGAGGGCGGTACCAGAAGTAACCATGCGATCGAAACCCCGCCGTTAAGTTTTCATTATCTCTTTTGAGATTGTGATTCATTGTTTAATCGATTTTGTGAATGCATAGTACGTAAATGGTGTTCATTATATTTGGTTGTGGAATGTAAGGTTTCCGCCACCATGTATGTGTTGTACATATCAATAACAAACACATTATTTTATTAAATTATACAAAATATTAAAATAAAAAAAAATTACGTATTACAAAACTAGATTCCTCTAAGATAAATCAAAGTTATATCCAACATTATAACCTCTCACACAAATAGCAAATCTGTCTCATATTCAGAACATAAAGGTTGCACTGATTAAAGTGATTAAAACTTTATATCCTGATAAAATATCTGCACAGTTGACTCACAAATTTAATCTAACACTTAATTATACTAAAGATATACACAGTTTAATGAGTTAATAAGAATGCACATAAGATCGGTCACATTATAAGTAAACAAGAAATTTGTTCTTATTTGCTCATCTTATTAGATTGGTTTCCACAGATTTTAATATTAGGTGATAAAATGTGATTACCGAGTATTTTGTAGATCATGAAATAGAGAAATAAGGATTGAGTATGGTAATAGTTTATTTTAAAAACAATAATGATAGGGATATATAATTTATATTTTATTAATATTGATGAATAATTACATAAATTGAAAACCAATATACAACATTGTCATCCCGAAAACTGATTGAAACAAAATTATGACATTTCTTTGCCATTTTAGATGTTCTCTCCTATTATTTTAATTAAAATCTGTCCAAAAGGAGTAGAAAGAGATATACATAATTAAAAAAGTTGCAAAATCATTAAACATCTTACAAAACTACCAACAAATTTAGTTCCTATAAATGCTTATTCTATTTTAAGTACAAAGTTATTATGAAATATTCTGCATAATACAATATAATATTTTAGAAAGATGTCTGGTGAGCCGGAACTGGCCCGCACTCCTGAAGATGATACCGAGGAAGAGGAAATCAAGTCTTCATACAAGCCTCCACCGGAGAAGAGTATTGAGGAAATCTTATCGGCCGACCAGGAAGATGAATCATTGAGGAAGTATAAGGAAGCTTTACTGGGGCAGGCTCAAACGGGGCCGGTTATTGTCGGTCAGTTAATAATACACATTTTATAGTCAGGAAGCTCGGCAATACTACTTCAGTTACTATATTAAGATTGTACCCACTGTTTGAACAGCATATATTACTTTTTTCATTCATATTTGTAATAGAATGAAACAAACAAGCTATTGAAATAAATCTTAAAAGGCTTCATCATTGAACACAAGACCTTGAAATAACTTAAGAATTTAAGTCATTTAACAATGTATTCATTGTGTCAAGTTGTGGTGGCCTAGTGGTTAAAGACCCGTGCATGAGGACGCGGGTTCGAAACCTGGCAAGTAGTAATGTGATTTTTCCAAGTTATATCTAAGAGTATTTAGACACCGCTGACTGATGAAAGAAAACATCGTGTAGAAACCTGGACTTATAATTTAAAATAATAAGTTTGAAATCAACCCATCTTGAGCAAGTGTGGCGATTAATGCTCAAATCTTCTCCATGTGAGAAGAGGCAGCTCAGCAATGGGCTCTGATAGGCTGATGATGAGCATTGTATTTATTTACTACCTATTTTACATTTTAAACTGCCATATATTTAGTTAATCTTATCCCTTCCAGATGCAAATGATCCCAGGAAGGTGATAGTGAAGAAGTTAGCCCTCTGTGTAGCTGAGAGGGATGACCTGGAATTAGACCTATCAGGAGACCTTACAGATCTTAAGAAACAGGTGAGTTAACATATATTCTAATATATAAAATTTTCATATCACAATGTTAGTTACCATACTGCTCCAAAACGGCTTACTGATTTATATCAAATTTAATATGCATATGTAGTAGGTCTGAGAATCGGCTACCATCTACTTTTCATGCCCATAAGTGATAAGGGTTGTTCACCTTTAAATTTATTTTTTAATATTTATAATTTTTTTTTGTTTTTCATAAAGTGGCATTAAAAAATACATACAACCCTAAATTTTTTATATGGCAAAACAAAATGCCGGGTCAGATAGTAATACATAAATAGTCTATTAGAAAAGCATTGATTGCCCAACATAAAAGAGGGGTGTGTTGTGTTTGATGTGTGTATGTTTGTTGCATTGTAACTCTTAAACGGATGTACCGATTTTGATAAAGTTTTTTCATTTGAAAGCAAAATTACATGTGATGCTTCATAGCTATCTGTTAATATCCGGAAATGTTAGTTTTTTTTTCATTACATTAAAATATTTTCTATAAATACCCTACTATAATATATTTAATATTTATATTTAATATTTTCTATAAATACCCTACTATATACTTTGGGTTAATTTTACCAAATATACTATTTAATATATGTGTAATAAATATGTAAAATAAATATTATAATAGGTTGGAATAAAATTAGATGCGGTGTTTCATTAATAATAAGAATTATTTGTTTATTTCCTTCCTCAATGACCGTTCTAATGTCAGCTATGAACCGATAAAAGTAACGGACTCACGGCTTATCAATAAATAATTATATTATTAATTTTTTCATCTTTATTAATGGAAATTTGTAGAAGCTTATACATTTAATAGAGAAAATAATAAGATATAATTCCTAATCACCTAGTATATGTATGTAGATGGGAAAATGTGTGTATATATAGATGTTTGTCGTTCTTTCACTCAAAAACTACTTAACGGGTTTTCGTGAAACTCTTCAATAACGTAGCTTATACATCAAAATCAGATACTGGATATTATTTATCCTGAAATTCTGTGTATTTTACTTAGAATTACGGCATAATAGTTGTACTGCGACGTCACGTGACACTATAGATATCTCTTAAAATTGGTTACTGTATTTATTGTATACATACATTTCTTTCTGAGACCAATAGTAAAGTCAAACGAAACCTCTTAGCATTCAATGTATTCGTCGTGTTAGTGTCGGGTCCATCGTTGCAGGGAGAGGAGCTTCAATAGTGACTGGGACTTGCGACCCAGGTGTAGGTTTAAGGGGCCGTAACTAACGCGTGTTAAACGCTCACCTCCACCATCCAAGCTCCTCTCTCTACCTAACCAATTACGAAAATATCATATAATAATTAATTTTTCCGTAATATTTTCTATCATACATCAAATTACATCGAAATATCTAGACATTGACAACCGATATTATCCGGGTTTCTTTGTTTTTGTATCTTCAATTTTTATCTCGATACGTAATGCAGTTCTGGATCGTTTGCGATTATCTGAAGGTGAAACTAGAATAATATATTGAAAATTGATAAGTGGATTGATAACGGATTTGTGTGGAATCGATCGACTGAATATATAAACATGTTGTTGCGAACTATTTTAAAATAATTATTATTAATTGTATGAGAAATAATAATTGATTTTAACTCAGCCAACAAGTAATATTCTATTTATAAGCCACTTGGAAATAGATTATTAAATTCGACGATTGAATAAAACTAATACTACACATACGAATATTAGTGTACATCTAAAGATGTTTGTTACTCTTTCGATCCTAAATTGCTTAACTGATTTTGATAAAGCTTTACGATATTGTAGTTTAGATATCAGGATAGGACGTAGGTTCTAATTTATCATGAAATTTCGTGTATATGAAGTCACATGACACAAACTAGAAGTCGCTAATTGTCGTCGTTAATTTGGTTGCCATATCTTATTGTTATAACAAATTTATCACCAATCCCAAATGCGTAAATCTATTGAAATAGTCGCTGACAAAACTATACCAGTAATAGGTATATATATGTATATTGTGTCTATGAATATATTTTGATGATAATTTTTGCTATCAGTAGTAAATATATATGTATATTTATTTATTTCTATATAAGCCTTGTTATAGATCTAGAAATCTTATCAGATTTCGTGTTAAGTTTCCAATACAGTCGTTATCCTGGCCATCGGAGTTGTTAAATGAAACCAGTTTAAAACCTGTTCCGATGATTAAAATACTCAAGTTCATTAAACGGGATACCCTCAACTTTGTAATTTTAGACTTACTGATGTAACTTTTTAGTTGTTTTTAATTAGAGATTCCACTTTTAAGGGAAACTTAAAATTTTGAAAAATTCTCATGTTCATCACTTATTTTGCATAATACTCTTTTTTGTTAAACGTAGATGACTATAATTATTAAAATCAAGATGTTATAAAGTCGCGTACTTTAAAAACATCGAACGTAAGAAAAATCGTATTTAACGTTCATTATCGCTACTATTAATTATCGTCAAACTATTAGTATGTACGAAGATAATTTCTGCTTTCCGTGGCTACTTAGTTCATTTAGCGTTAGCTCTCAGAACGAACCAAAGTTTCATCTCATGAATTATTACGAAATATATATATCAACACACACACACACTCACACATACACACACACTCACACATACACACACACTCACACATACACACACACTCACACAAACACACACGCATATATGTATACATACATATATAGTTTTCCTTCCATCAACTAAGGAACGTAAGAAGATGAGAAGTTTCCATATGTATCAGAAGTTAAATTTAATTCTAGATCACATTTGAGTGTTTAAGATAAGTTACATCAGTGTATGATAAACTACTCGTATTACGGTTAACTTGAGAGTTAACCCAAATTTGATTTTCTTTCTGTATCAATGTGTATGTACACAAACTAAACGTTTATTTAGTATTTTTCTTGCCCTTATCGTGAATATCTAGTCGGATGATGTTTTAAAGAGTATTATGTTAAGTCCATATATTGATAATCAATATGGTCATAAAGTAGGGTGGCCATAAAAAACAAATGCAGTAGGGACATTTGTTTAAACATGAAAGGAAATAATGTACACCCTTACTACTTACTAGTCAGTAACGTCATATAAGAAGTTACTGACTTATTATATACGGTTTCTCATTAAAAATTTACTCCGATACTATCAAGTGAAGTCATGTGAATGAAAAACTTGAAATTCATAGTATGCAGTGCGACTACGAAAACTTGTACTAAGGGTGAAGTTGCAAAACTTATAAGAAATTTCAATTCTATTAGTACATCTGTGTCTAATCATAAACATATTTCTGGAAATAAAAATAGGGATTAATTAATAAATTGGTAGACTTTTTAAGATATGAAATTAATCTCGAGGTGATTGGAACCTAGCCAGTTATTAATATAACGTCACCAGGTGCCGATGAAGTAGTTCTGTGATTGTAAATAAAGACTGGGTTAAACACATTGATATAAAGATCTAGTAGACTCAGAAACAATATTATTACTGGACATATATTTGGCCAATATTAGCTGCATAAAAATAGACATAAAATAAATACATATATAATATTCATTACACAATTTTGACTTAGTAAAAAAAATATTTATTCAGAAAATGTTTTTTAATAAAAAGTATCCTAATATTTGAGTGAGACTGCACCAAACTAGGAGTAGACTCGAGTCTTAAAAATAATCTTAAGTACTCTAGTATTCGTGTATTAAAAACATCCGCATATTACTCTATCGAAACCATTAAAAATATTTTTCTACATTCAAGTTTATTATTAAATCAAATTTCTCACCCTTTCTCATTCTTATTTTATTAAGACTTGATATCTATAGTGAACTTAGTAAGAAAAAAAATATTTGTACATATGGAATGAAAACACGATGATTGAAAGATGATACTAATAGAAAGAAATCGTTACAAAACATACTATTTGTATTTTATAGTTATGAGATGGACTTTTGATTTATAAAAGAACTCGAACATGTATAAGCCTCTTACTTTAATAAATTTCAGATATACATATATAATACTAGCTGACCCGGCAAACATTGTTTTGACATATAAAAAAATGAAAACAAAAAAATTAAGGGTGAACTACCCTTGTGACTTAGGGGTATGAAAAATAGATGTTGGCCGATTTTCAGACCTACTGAGTATGCTCACAAAATTTCATTAAAATCGGTCCAGCCATTTCGGATTAGTTCTCTGTCTAACACCGCGACAACAGAATTTTATATATGTAGATATTGTGTTTAATATTTGATCTAGACTACCTCTTGTAACTTACAATTGGATTATTTCCGTAGGTTTTTTTCTTTGAATCATAACAGACATTCAAACACTAAAACAATCGCTTTAAACGTATTTTATAAACAAAATTCTTCACATATCGACATTTTCCCAGATATTTCCCCTTTTGAATTTTATAGATTGATTGATTTTATTATCAGAACCTTCAAAAACTATAATAAAAATTAATTTAATGAACATTAAATGGGACTATATATGTTTTGTTTGCGTTGCAGGTGTTCGTGATAAAGGAAGGCGTTCAGTACAAGATAAGGATCGACTTCATAGTGCAGAGGGAGATAGTGCACGGGCTCAAATACGTACAGAAGACATACCGCTTAGGGGTACCAGGTACTGATACGATATGATTACGATATGATATGATGGTGGTGGTGATGATGATATGATGGTGATATGATGATGATGATGATATGATGATAGTGATGATGATTATGATATGATGATGGTGATGTTTCAAACTAACATCTGCTTATCTCAACAGTTTATTTACATTAACGATACGAAAGTTCTATTTTTGAATATTTTAATTTGATATATACAAAGGTAACTACAATACTATAGTAGTAATCTCACGCCAAACTAAAAACAGACAGTCTAGAGTATTCTATTTATATATTACTAGCTTTCCGACCGCAGCTTCGCCTGCGTGGAGTTCGGTTATGTCACGTTTCCAAGAGAACCTTTCAAAAGTGTTGGATAAAAACTATCCTATGTTCTTTCCCAAGGTCAACTCTATGTCTGTACCAAATTTCATTAAAATCAGTTCAGTGGTTTAGGCGTGAAAGCATAACAGACAGACAGACAGGCAGAGTTACTTTCGCATTTATAATATTAGTAGAGATAACTGTAGACATATCAATAAAACACTCACAATTCTATGAATTGTATTTATTATCAAAGTATGCGTACCACGTGTCTCCATCATCACACTACATACATAGCGTTTACAGTTTTTTATTAAAATCTCATGAATTAATATAATATAGATTGATTCAGAAACGAGTAACGCTATATACTTAATTTTACTAACATGGACTAAGCCTACTATAAACATATCAAAAAACATCAAAGAAATTTATAAATTAATGTAATTGTTTATTATTAATTAATGTATAATAATATTCTAAAGCCAAGTTGTATTTCATGCTGGACAGTTCCCGGTACGTATGTAGTATAATTTATATTCCTCTTACATACAACATTGAAAATATATCTTATTTGTATGAGAATAGAGTTTATTATTATTTGACTTGTTCTAGGAACTTGATGTATGCTCTGAATGATCCTATTTTGTCATGATTTATATTATTGCCGTAAGCTTATCTTTGTGTTACAAACAGACATTTTTGATGTAATATTCATAGATTTAACGCTCGAAAATATATAACTTGCACCTATATATAACCATATTATATATATGCTAGTAGAATTTTATACACCATTGGTCCTCAACCAAAAAAGTATGGCCATTGAACTGCTTTCATAAATTTAAGTTCTTATAGAAAATATAGTGCAAAATTCATAGATACAAAGAGGAATTCGGAATCTCCGATCTCAGGTATAACGCGTTCCAGTCGAATTATCAACTGAGATTATGGACCGTCATATATTTCTTCGTTCTACTTTGTCTATATGAATTTTATTCGTCTTATATTTATATCATACTTAGAAGTAGAGAGAGGAGCTGTGACGGTGGAGGTGAGCGTTTAACGCGTTAGATAGGGACCTTAAACCTACACCTGGGTCGCAAGTCCCAGGCACTGTTGAAGCTCCTCTCTCTACAACGATGGACCCTGCACCCACACGGTGAATACATTGGTTTCGTCTCTAATATATGTATATGAATGTTTCAGTCGATAAGATGACTCACATGGTCGGTTCTTATCCACCAAAGACCGAGATTCAATCATACACGACGCCGCCCGAAGACGCTCCCTCCGGCATGATGGCGCGAGGTTCCTACACCGTGAACAGCCTCTTCACAGACGACGATAAGAACGTGCACCTACAGTGGGAATGGAGCTTCGAAATCAAGAAAGACTGGAAGGAATAGAAAAGACCAAGGCTGGATTGGAGGAGGTGGACTCTGTAATACAAGTTGAAACGGTCGCGAACAGAGTCCTAGTGCCATATGACTGTTATAAAGCACAATGAACCCAATCCAAGCCACGCCGACTGAGATTATTATATAAGTCTCGATACGTCACAAGATATTCCGACGACTCACTAACTTTTGATACTATCCGAGTAATATGCCTTCAGATCAGATATTTTCGTAGACTAGAGAAAAGACAAGTTCAATGTAACCTTATCTAAATATAAATTCTATTGTTACAACTTTCGTGTATGAATTAAATTTTAATATTAATGTATAGCATACGACTTGTCGTTTCTCTAAAATTTTACAGTTATTCATATAAGCTGTTCGAGTGTTTTTTCTCTGTGTAATTTCTTTTTTTCGACAATACGATAATAATGTTTGAATTGAATTAAATATAACAATAATAAATAGTTTTCTACATATAATTGTATTAGATTAGTGTAGCTTAAATCTTAACATTTCATCACCGTAGTGCCGTATAACATCAATCAATGGACAAACAGCATTCCTGATACAGCATTTGAATCCATACAATTGTCGTACGTATGTAGTGAGCAATAAGAACGATTTTACCCCAAACAGAATATCCTCACTAACATAACTATCTCAACCAGCGTTCACTATAGTATATAGTATCACTAAATTGGACGCAATATATTTGGTGCACCAAAAATATATATATTTTTAATACCTAGCTTCTAAATCGGATGCCAATGACGCGATGTGGCATTAAGTATTATCATTATAGATTAAAATAGAACTTAAGTGTGTCGCAATAAAGTACATTATCGCGTGAGAACAAATGCTTGTGTGAAAGCTCCCAATGGTGCTTCCTGGCTGGCCGTTAAATTCATATAATCCATAATATAGGATAGTCTATTAAAGAATATTTTCTTATTGTGGCCAGTTATATAAACTGTTAAATGCTTGTCGGAGCATCACAACCGTCTCTCAGCTTTTATACCTTTGACTTCATTTAGCATACAATAGGCAATAGTTGACCAAGTAACATGATAAAGACACCTGATTGGTCGACTGTTGTCCATACATATAAATTTCATGAGTCATTCTTTATAAATGTATTTTCATGATTTTAATGAAAATGTTATAATGTCATGTAAATTATTGTATGTATGTATTAAAATTCAGATTATTCGCTCTTATTATGGGATAGTGTTTAATTTCATTGCTATATTTTTAAATGTTTTATTTACTTATAGTAACAGATTTTTACTCCGGATGTAAAAGTTGTATTCAATGTAATAAATAGTTTGGCCAAAAAATAAAGCTTATTTATTCAACTATCGTTATTTAATTTATTTGCATATTACATACTAGTGTGTTAATTTAATATTTCATATAGATTGACTTGGTTAACTCTGCTCATTGTTTTTCTAATATCACTTGTCTTGGTCAGAGCTAAATTAACTTTATAATCAGTCTTCTGTGTTGGACAGAACGCAGTGAGTCTTGTTGGAACGTAGCTCGCCTCAATCATCATCAAAGGCATCGTTATACTCAGACATCCTCGTTCTGGAAGTAAATATATATTTAGAATTCATACAGAATCATTAAAAAATATAGTTTTCTTATAAAGTCAGGACTTTTAAATAACTAATAAAAATACTAACTATAACAAACTAATTATTATTTTAAACCAAAACATCTTAAATAAGTCAAATTCAATTTACAAACACTGTAAATATGTATTATATGTAGTAAATTTAACCGAATATTTAAAACTCCTGAACGCACCCGAAGTGATATTAAAGCGATGACATTTGGTTTGTTTAATTTTACATGGGAAAGTATTTGTCGACGCGATTTGTAGGTCTTGATATATTAATAAGTTTAAACTCTTTAAAACAATTAAGTTCCAATTAAGGTTGTTATTAAAAGTTGTAGGTTTATGAGAAAACCATAATTTTTATGATTTTGTACGATTATTACAAAAAGTAAAGTGTATAATAACAAATAAATAAAATTAACTCAGATATAATCAAACACTAGTTCTCAAAATGTGTTCACAGTCATGCGAGTTTTAAACCATTCATCTTCAATGTGGGAATTGCGTAAGTTTTAGCTAGTTTGTTTGTAATAAGAAAATAACCGTTAAATGTTTAGTCTTGTTTAAATTTTTATGAAATATTGATTTGAGTCTAAATACACAATGTTAACATCTACCTATATATAAATAAAAAGATTATTATAATAACTAGCTTTTGCCGCGACTCCGTCCGCGCGGAGTAGTGACTTCCGGCAGATTTTTGGTTCTTCTGGTTCTTGCGGGGTTTTCGGAATGGTCGAGTTCCCGTAGAGTTTTCAGGATAAAACCTATGTTTTTTTTAAATTCACAATGAACTACTCTTAACCAACAACATATTTATTTGTTTATTTGAATAAAGATTTTAAACAATTATTTCAACCAAATGAGGTACCATAAAAACGGTTTTTGTGAGTTAATCTTAAAAGATAGACATATACTGTCGCGGACTGTTTTTTAGAATATTAAAAGAGCTATTATTCTTCAATACATATTTTTTGTATATCTTGAACCGTTTTCACGGCGCACGCAACGGAAGGCCTCAAAGATGAAATAATTTCTCCCGTTTTTTACACATTTACCACTATATCTTTGCTCCTATTGGTCGTAGTGTGATGTTATATAGCCCACAGCCTTCCTCGATAACTGGACTATCCAACACAAAAAGAATTATTCAATTCGAACCAGTAGTTTCGGAGATAAGCGCGTTCAAACAAACAAACAAACTCTTCAGCTTTATAATATTAGTATAGATTTATCTTGATTAATTATTTTATTTAAATTATTTAATAGTGTTACATATGTATGACATTTATGAGGTTTTAAATTAATGTTGAGATATTTAATTCCGTTTATAGAAGCCATCTAGACAAAAAACGAAAATGTTTTCTTTATAAAATATAAGTTAACGAGTGGCGCCATCTGTGCTGTAGTAATAATACTGGACCGTGGTAATTTTGTAATAGCAAAATTTGAGTATCAACTTGCATTTGACAACAATAAATACTGGCTTTAGTAAATTTGTAGGATATTACTGGAAGTAACGCTGAACATTAAGGATCAAAATTAAAACTGTAGCTCGAATAATAATAGGCAGTAATACTTTTCCAATACTAACCTGGTATTTTCCCGTTTATGTGAACATTCTCTATCATATAAACGCCACTCTTGCCGAGTACGTTAGATACTGTGTGTTTCGTCATCTCTCTAGTCTGGTCTGACTCGAGAGTAGGAGCGTCAGTCGCCACACCCACCACGTGACTCAGATTGGAGGCGATAAATTCAGCTAGTTCGTAACTAAGACCTATTTGATATATTATTAAGTATCTTAGTTAAATGCACATCAGTATATTTATAATGCGTTTGCATCGTCCTACTACAAACGGAGTATTAGTTACTAGCTTTCCGCCCACGGCTTCGCCCGCGTAGAGTTTGGTTATATCACGTTTCCAAGAGCACTTTTCAAAAGTCTGGGATAAAACTATCCTGTTCTTTCTCAAGGTCAGCTCTATTTCTGTACCAAATTTCATTAAAATCAGTTCAGTGGTTCGTGCGTGAAAGCGTAATAGACAGACAGACAGAGTTACTTTCGCATTTATAATATTAGTAGGGATATTGTAGTATTAACTTCGATTATTGAGTGTGAAACGGGAAACTCCTCGTATGTAACGTTACGAACTTGTATTAAGGATGACGATTTCCGTTGAGGAAATTCATAAAAGCATCACGTTAATTTTATTATTAATTTTTTTAGTTTTATGATGGAAACTTATGATAATAGTACTTTCAGTTTTAATAACAATTAATATGAAATAGTACCAGAGTCTACTCACCTGGTATTTTACAAACACATCTTCTTTTAAGTTGATTGGAAGCTGTCCAGCCGAATTTAAAAAGAATCAGCGTTGGTTCTAGAGGATCGTATTTTAAAACTGGCCACTGTAAAGCCACGTCCAACGTTAAAACTAAGTTGGGATTTGATTTAGCCAAATAGCTGACATCTATGATAGACACTGAAAGTTAAAAACATTATTTTATACCTAGATTACATGGTTGGTTGGTTGTTTAAAATTTGGCCTTCATCTGTGCAAAGACGTGCAGAGTATATTCTGCAAGTGTCGAGTAGAATGGAAGAGACACGATCATTATTATTGACTAATATTTCATCCTACTATAATTTTATTATGTTTTAAAAGCTATCGACACTCGTCTATAACGCCTAAAATATAGGGTTCGGATATTAGGTGTCAAACGTTGTACAAAGTTGAATTTACATTTCATTTAATCAAATATTAATTCAAAATTATTTTGCTATTAAAATTCATTTCGTTGTATTTCTTTGAAAATACAGTTTTGAATAAATTGTTATCTCATAGATATAAAATTAAATCATCCATTTCCAATAATCTTTCTACTTACATCTAGTGACTAAATATTCTGTAGGTATTACAGCAGGCTGCATAGATCCTGTTGAACCCAGGTGTTCTAAATGTAAGCCGGTACCTAGACCGGGTATGCCGCAATTGATACAGATCTTCCTAATAAAGGAATTTGTAATTAAGAAAATACTGATTATTTTGGGTAAATAAATGCAAAATATATTAAAACTATCACAGTAATAATCATAGTATCGTTCAGCCAAAATACAGAATAGGATTCAATTTAATAGAAGTAGAAGTGCAGTAGAAATGGGAGCGAGAGGTATAGCAGCTAAATCTCTCTACAATCTGCTAAAAGACTTGAGTCTGTCCAGAACTCACATTAATTAATTTTTGAAACGTACTTCGAAGGCAGCCCTAGTAGTTCTTTTCAAATTTGGTTAGGTAGAGAGACGTGCTTGCACAGTGGAGGTGAGCGTTTAACGCGCGTTACGAGTAGATAGGGGATCCTTAAACCTATACCTGGGTCGCAAGTCCCAGGCACTGTTGAAGCTCCCCTCCCTACAACGATGGACCCGACACAAGCACGGTGAATCCATTGAATGACGAGAGGTTTCGTCACTTCTTAATACACACGAATGGGAATAGTTATTACTTAATTGATTCTTTTAAACGAAAATTCAAGCCTATAAATCAAATATTAACTACGAAAGAGAATAAATTTGTTTTATAACTAAAAATCGGATGAACTGATGAAATAATTGTTTAGTTTAGAAAAGCTCTTTGCAAGTAACTCTTTAATCGACATTGGAATAGAAAAGGTATCTAAATATTATAAACATATGAATGTATGTGTACAGGAGCATATTATATTCAACTTTGCGCTTCATTATTAAAAAAATGAGAGTTAAGTATGTAGAAGGGTGTAGTATTAAAAATAAAATATTTAAGTAAGCAATAAAGAAATATAAGTCCAAGGTGATCAGTTAACAGAATAAAAGTATTAAATAGAATGAGATATGGATTTCAATAATCTATTATGTCACATAGATATTTTCATAATAACAACACTTCGTCTGCAATTTGTATTGGAATAAAACCTTGTATGTACGAAAATACGTAAAATCTCACATACACATTCATAAAATAAATTACATTCATTCAATGAGATCTAAGATTTTCGCGAGTGCTCATTTAAATGAAACTAATATTTTTCGGATGTGACATCTCGTCTGCCCGTGATCACGGTTGCTGAAAAGTAGCCGAAACGTCGGGAGTATGTAGTTTTCTAATCAAAAATAAAACGCGAAGTAAAATCCGAAAAAATATTAGTTTCATTTACATTCATTCAACTTTAAAAACGGTTTTAAGATTGTTTACTTGAAGTATAAATTAATTACTCACTTAATAAAAGCGTGAAAAAAAGCAAAAATTTTGTCTGTCACTACGACCACTTTCAGGAATTCTTAAGAAGGTGACTTATATTTCCAATGAAAATGAAAAGTACATTCCTCAATTTTTACTAAAAATATTGTTCGATGGCCCATAACATTTTGTTCCAAAGATATTAATTTTGTATTAACTAAATCATTTATTTAGTAACAACGACTTCTCAAATATATAACTAAGTAAGCTTCCTAATTTAGCGATTTCTTAGCAAACAAAATCCCTCTCACAATTGAAGAACTCACCAATATTTTTCTATGGCACCATAATAATTGTTCATTTCCTTCCAGTTGGTAGGTTTACTTAAATCGTGAACTTTTATAAAAGATACGTCTTCGTAATCATAATATGGTTTCTTGGTGGCCACCAAAAATAAATTTAATACTATATAACAAATAGTTCTATACATTGCAACTAATTCTGTCCGTTCGTCTTAGATTGTAGATGAGAACTGATTCTAATTAGACTATTGTCTTTGATATTTGTTAAACATATAAAGGTAAGGTTTATTTGGAGGGTGATATAATATGTTTGTAAATAATACCGTCAGCGTAACAATATTGTAATAATATATTGCTCTGAAAAAACTTCTATGTATTTAAATAAAACTATTTTTTTTGTTTGAATTATTTTAATATATGTACAGACTAAGTATAAAAATACAGATAACAGATGCACGAAACAATACAAGTTTTAATTCGATTTACATAAATGAACAAGAAATCTTCAAAACTTTATTGCTTCAAACATTATTTAAGAATAAATCGTACAAAGATAAATTTAAAAAATAAAGATGATCTTAAGCGAATTTTGTTCAAACAAAATTACTAAGATGCGATACACATTAAATAGAACGTGATATTATTAAATATTGCACTAGACGTAAAGGTACGAGAAACTTAAATTAGTCGTTGGTTTAGTACAAATAAATTAATATAATCCCGACGGCATGTCCGTTACTTTGTTGAGTGCGAAGTTTGATCCCATAGTATTCGTAGTTTTCTTTAGATCGTTATAGCTATGTGTTCCGTTCATTACGAGACTCGTCATACTGGCTGGAGCGTCTCTTAATATATGGGTTCCGGAGTAAAACCCTGAAGTACTCCCGCGTTTCATTATGAAGGTATTGTTGAATGGATGGTCAAAGCCGATGTTCAGTTTATGTTTATCTTGGCTCTTTGAATCATATATTCTGCTGTTCGATCTCGTGATGGGTATTAAAGGCTCTCCAGCATCACTATTTGTTCTTGAGGTGGATCGTTGCCGTTTCTCGTACGAATATTTCCTCGGTTCGTTAGTTACTACGATGTCCACCATAGAGTTGAGACCTTCATCGATCCTCTCTAGACTCTTTGTTAACTTTTTGGATTCTATCAGATTGACTATCTCGTCAACGCGACTGCACTTCGCATTTTCTTGGTTATCGTTCAACGAGTTTTCATAGAACATGCTATCTATGTATTCTCTTTGCCGTGATCCTTTCTCTGAATTCTGGAAGGATTCGGTTCTTTTAACTGATTTATCATCTCTCGATCTTGTTCTTGATCGCTTCGCACTGTCTTCTTGGCTAGCGTTGAATTTAGCGCGACATTCATTAAAATCGAAGCTAGCATCAGATTTTTTTTGCACAGGTTCTTGGCAACGTGATGCGCTAAGTAGCGAGTCTGAACCTTCATCGCTAGAATAGAAGTTGTTTTCTTCGAAGATGTCCGGCGCTTTGCTATACAGACCCTGACCTCCTGGCGGTATGAACAGATGTATGAGACTCTTAGCTTTTCTTGGTGGATGTGGTAGTATCTTACTTGGTACAATCTCTGCTTCTTCTTCATTTTGATCATCATCCGTTGTTATTTGAATGCTATGTCTCGTGCTAGTAATGGAGTCTTCTCTTTGCGTTTTCTGTTCTGAGCTATTATTTATTCTGGACCTACCTCTTAGTTGTTCTATCTCCGCGTGGTTTACAATATTCCTAAGCTCCTGTATGACTTCGTCGATAGTTGTTTCGTCTTCTTCATCAGAGGATTTTTTGTCATTTTTCTTGGTATCTCCCTTCTTGTGTAACGATCGTTTGTTTCTCTTTAGATCGTATGTTTCATTCTTTATGTTGAACACTTCATATACCATGGACTCTCTCTGTTGATCTCCGTCGGGACTCAAGGATCGTTCCGAGGAACTGATGCCTTCGTCTTCTGGTGGTGATGTTTCATCTGTTATTATTTTTAATAAATTTTTAATTAGCATAATATATTTGGAAGACTGCAAATAATCCAAAATAATTATATAACATATACAGGGTGACTGGTGAATTACTATCAATATTTAAGGAGAATACTCGGTACATGATTCTCATTCGAATTATGTAAAAAAAATAGGTACTTAATTTTTGACAAAAATTCCGTATAAATAAATAAAGTGTGTACACGTTCCAAGTGTTCCAAGTGTGGACGCGTGCGGCGGCGTGCTGATACAACACTATGCCGCCGCCGCGTCTGTGTGAGTGTGTGTGTATACCTAATCTGTAGGGTGTTCATACGATGCGTAATTAATTACACAACTTTTGGTTAACTTTACTTAGAAGTTTATTAATATTTATGTGATATTAATTTTTATTTTGTCATACATATATGATCGTCAAATATCACGTCCTCAAATATCGATAGTAATTCACCAGTCACCCTGTATATATAAAAAGAATGTTTTTTAGACATTATGAGAAAACTAGAGTGATTTACCATGGGCTAAGATAAAAGATACTTTTAAATTGATATAAATTTTGACTTTACAGAACTAGCAAAGAATTTAATATAGCAATGATAGAATACCTCTATTATTATTGGAGTTTTTTTTCTTCATCAGAAATGTCTTCTTCCGATTTGAGTTCCCATGTTCAGATTTTAGTGTGCTCACTTCTTCTTGTAACTCACAGCATTTCTCTTGCAAGCATTTCTCTAGAGATAGCAATATGCCTTTCTCCTCTTGTAGTATCTGTAAATTCATAGGAATAATGTTCAACATTGTTGAATATGTTTTTATTAACATATATTAATAATTTTTTATAAGTTAAATATTAGAGAATCAATCTAAGTTTAACATCATATTTGCCCCTCAAATCTAAAATAAACGTATTATAGAATCGAACTATAATGAATTAGTTCAAAATAACTCTAATTTGTTCTATATTTAAGGTCCTTTTTCCATTACCTTAACTCTTTTCTCCAATAGCTCCAGTTTATGTCTAAGATCGTCTTTTTCCTTCAGCGCCTCATTCGCCTTTTCATTCAACGTGTCGATGTCTATCAGCTGCTGTTCGTACTTTTCAATTTCCTTCATCAGATCCTCGTTAGGATGAGGAGATTTGGCAATGGCCTTGAAAATAAAAAAATGCTATATTATTATCATTTTGTTTAAAAAATTTAATGCTTGGTTGGATTAAGCCTACCTTTTTTAAGTAAAAGTGAAATATATTGTTATATATGTAATAATTTTTAATCAATAATATTTGAATTAAAATATAAATCTACAGAAAACAGCAAAAAAATTATCGACATGAGCATTCGAATCTGCGACTTCTGTGATAAAGCATTTCGATCACTTTTTCAAACAAGCTATCGTGTCTTGACTATGTTAATTAGATATAGTTTTATATAGATTCTAATTATTATCATATCATTATCAATATGGGTTCCTGAAAAAGTGTAGAACATTTTGAGAAAACTACATGAGTATAATATCAGTGGGGAAAAAGTTACGAAATCCAAACCCACCTTCTTAAAGCTGTTGATATCGAAACCAGCTTGTTCTAGCTCAGCCTGTATATATAGTCTGGCTCGAGGCGGCCGGCTTGCTAGTAGTGAGTTAAGGAAAGCTAGTCCCGCTGTCTGAAGGGCACCCGTCCCTCCAGACTGAAGGGCACCGACTAAGAACCTGAACCGTACAGGCTCACCGTAACGGAGACGAAGAGTTGATAAGGCTTCGGATACAGCGGTAGTACCGTATGGGCACGCTTGAGTTAATAGCTGGTTGGAAATTATTAGATTATGAATATTTTGTACCAAATATAATTGAAAGGAGAAAATTTTATTATTACTGGTGAATAAAATTTTCAAATCTTTATGGTCTTCACAAATATTAAAAATATTATAATTCATAGCATTAAAGGAGAGCTGATTGTTATTATTTTTGGGATTTGATGCGAGGTAATGAAATCTTTTGTGTCATCTACAAAAAGAGGGAAAACATAGACCTTGGATTGCAAAATACATTAGCAAACAAAAATGAATAATCCTTTTAGATATGTAAAACAATGTTTTGTTTTCCTTCTAATAAGGCCTTAAATATTAAAGATTTCTTTCACTAGCTGGAATATTTACCTGTAAAGCCAATATCCTCGTCTTATTGACTGTGGACATAATGCAGACTGTAAGGCCGTAGACTCCATTTGAACTGGCGACCAGACGACGGACGCAGTCAGTATACCTACTGCAGCAGCTCCAGAGACATTGGCTAGTTGAAGAATATATAGAACATATGAGACTAAATGTTCAATGTATATACGTGAATCTTCACACCAAAAAAAATTAACTTCATACCAAAAAAAATTAAGACCATATATAGAATATATATCATGAGACTGAATCTACGTGAATATTCACACAAAAAAAATTATGACTGTATTTCGGTTATATGTGTTAGAAATATTTCAACGTTGTATTCTAATAGAACGATTCTATTATATATGGGAATTGATATACTATAACGTATAGTTATAACGTATAGTTTTGGCCTCGTTAGATGATTATTGTTAGAAAACTGGACGGAATAATTTCTTAATAAAGGAAGCAAGTAAAATATAAGGATATATTTTATTATTATCTTTTGAATTAATCCTCTTTGTGTATTTATTCACCATAAAGATTTACGATTAATATGAGATGACGAATATTTTTTTTGTTATATCTTTATATATATAAAAAAAATGTATTAGTTTACACTATTAATAACTCAATAACTGCTGTACGGTTTTGTCTGAAGATTGCTCGAGAAATAGCTTAGAACAAGAAAAAGGAAATAAAATACTCTTCATCCGATTGAAAAAGATAAAAAATATGTTGATCAAATGTAAAATCTGCTATATTTAAGCAGGAATAAAGATCGCCTGATCAGCATTACATATCTAATTCTGAAACTAACGCAGACAAAGTCGAAGGCAAAAACTAGTTTTCTATAAATACAAAAAAAATTAAGACTCACAGGCAAGCCAGTTCATCTAGAAGTGGTCGTCGTCTTACTGCTGGTGGACCTCTCGCCGCCTCACCATTCTGACTCAGCTGGATATTTCGCAGAAGTTCCAGAAGTAAAGTAACGCCGTCCAACGGCTCTGAACAGAACTCTTGAACGAAACTGTCATAACATATAGGTGAATGAATGTTATTGACTCTCAGAAAAATTATACCTACCATATTATTCTTTAGTTATGAATCTAGCAATCGGAGCTGTGGTAGTACAAAATAAAACATAAAAATATTTAAATTTATCAGAATAAAAAACATGTTGTTAATGATTTAACGAAATCAAATAACTCAACTATTGCCAAAACGTCTTAAGTGTTAAGGCGATAATTCACTGACTATTATAGCCTGTTAAAAAATCTGACATTTTAAGTCAGTCATATCGAATAAGTCAATGTAATTAAACACAATATGAAATAATAATACCAATTAAATAAAAGCCTTTATTCGACATACACTTTCATGTTTCCTCCACACAGTACTCAAGATTATAATTCGTCCAACAAATAGATACTTCGGAATTGGCAAAATATTCCACGATTCCAGTGCGAATGAAGCCATGGCATAAATAAAATATATATGTATATATATAATACTATTTTCTAAACATAATAAGTAATTTTAAATTTCTTCATTCATAAATACTTTCGGTATATAAAAAAACTTTTAGATTATTTCGCTACACGTGACAAATTACGAGTACCTGGTAAAAGTTTACTGGGAAATAGATATCTATTCTGTGGTTAAGTTTATTACCGCTTATATATATTTACCAGAAACAATAAATTATATTATAATACTTTATGTATAATATTTAAATTCTTCTAACGAAAGAACTATAGATACCTACGTTCCAATGTAACAAATTACTTGAATTAAAGATAGTAATTATATTTATATCAATAGTATAAAGATTTAAATTGAAATAATATACCATCATCCAGAATGTAAAGTCATTCAGTGGAATAATTATCAGAATAAAAAGCATCAAAGAAGACGCCGGCTCATGCTATCAAAACAAAAATATAAAAAAACATACAGAGCTTCTCAACAATGTTATAAAACCTGTATAAAAAGCTACGTAAATGTTTTATAGTTATTAGAAGTTTGAGAAGCATCATCCGAGCCATTGGTTCCAGGCTGCAGGATCAGCGGTAATCTCGTATGAAGAAATGATTGTCATAAATTACAGCTACTTTGCGGATTGTCCGGACGTCATTGCAATTTTACTTTTAAAGTACACAAGCGATAGGCTTAAGCGTTTGAAGAACCGTCTCATTGTTTGTTTGAGTACATGTGAGTGATGCAAATGGGACTTTAATAGTTTCGCTATATCGTTTGAAGTACGCGATCGTGAATGTCATTAGTCACTACTGTAATTTGTGGTGTTTGTGGAACAGTACGATGGTGGATCATTTTTTGTTATCAGATGGACCTAGTACTGTATTTATTCGCGTAAATCTATGTTAATACTTTAGAAATTGCAGTCAAAGTTATTTAGATTAATAGTAAGGGAATATAAAATATTGTGTTTATTTGTTATTTACTAACTATAAACAAGAAAATTTAAGTAGAAGACGCGGAATGAAGACTTTATTGACACGGTCGAGATTCGAGTCTGCAACCTTTGTAAAATTGCGTTCTAGTTAAATTTAATTTAATTCCATTTGGTAATAAAGAATTTTTTTAAGCAATTTTATCATAACTGGTGTAGGTGAATGAAACCAGTACATATTAAGCATATTTTAATTATCTTATCGACCAACGTCTGTGTCCATCTAATAAATTTTCTTACGACAATCCTAATAATTTTTTTCTAACTAAGCAGGATAGAAGAAACATCGTCAAGTTGCCACTAATATTATATTCCTTGTTTTAACATTAATGATTAAAGCAAATATGAATAAAAACTTTAATTAAAATACAAATAGAAAGTATGTTATATAGAATACACAACAAAAACTAAACGCCAGTTATAATATTTAAAAAATCGCTATCTCTTGTGGTTTGGTCCGTCCACAGTGACCGCATCGCAATGCTAAGTAAGATGTAATTGAAAACATTCCTCGTCATTGTATTTTTATTTGTATTCCTACCAGCTATTATTTCGCCTCCATTATCTTTAGACGCTTTTAATACACCGAGATGATTTAGAACGTTGATTACATCCGACATCTTCATTAAAATAACTTTTTTAATAGTGATTGGATTTTTTTTTTAATCAAAATATTCTTTCTTGGTAATAAATAGCTAAATTCTTTTGCTTCTACTGTGTTTTGTTCGTGTAAATATTTTTCTAAATAGTTTTTCTGTTCACGTGATCGCGGTTAAGTTTGATATCGTGAGGAAATCTGAATAACTTACAAGAAATTGAGCGTTACTGGTAAATGTAATGACTTATTTATCAAGAATAGAACAGTTTATTATAGAAATGTATTAAAATAAATTTTTGTTTATTCTTGATTAGAATATTTTGTGTGCGTATTGAGAAAATCTTTTCAACAATTAGTATTAAGTCTACTATATATAATTAGGAAGATTTTCATAATATTAGTTTGTAATTACAGCCATTGAATGGATTAGGTAAAAAGTAGTTTGAAATGTATATTTAAAATGTATTAATGTGACTTTTTTGTTTCATAATAAATTTTCTGTTATAAATCCTTATGCCGTAAATAATTCGTGGTTAAAATATTATTTACAAGATAAAACATTAATTTTAAATTTGTTTCTTATTCATACAACAAGCCATCAAATCACTAAGTCAGTCAGAATATCACAAACTAAGTTAAGCTTAATAATATTTATTAATTATTTCAAATGATGATTTTGCTTATAAAGATTTATAGTTCGATCGAAACTTATTTCCCAGAACAATACACGATTTTATACTTTCTAATTGGTTTTGACAATAAAAACTGTAATAATCGATTGCCTACGTTAACAGTCTATTCTCAATCTATATTTTAGTCTTAGTCTTACTCTATATTATATAATTCTTACCTGGCAAATGAAAGTCGAAGATCGGCTCGGAGTTTTGTTAAAAGTTCGCTGATGGTGCCAAATTGACGTAGACTCATTTCCTCTCCTAAACTCAGACAGGGATTTCTAAAGAAAATTAACAAAAACACTCATTTTTATGTTCAAGCTATCCACAAACAATTGTAAGAGAAAAGAATTAGATCAAACTTTATGTTGTCAAACTCTCAGCATTCCATGGATTCACCTTGCGGGTGACGGGTCCATCGTTGCAGGGAGAGGAGCTTCAACAGTACCTGGGACTTGCGACCCCGGTGTAGGTTTAATGGTCCCTATCTAACGCGTTATACGCTCACCTTCACTGTCCAAGCTCCTCTATTTACCTAACGAAATTTGAAAAGAACCTACTAGGGCTGCCTTCGAAGTACGATATGTAAGTAATTGGTATATTAACCTAAAATCCTTGCTATTCTGTGTCGGTAGTGTCTGAGCCTTGTTCGTATCCTGTCCTTGTTCCACGTCGTATAAACTGGCGGAGCTGGTTTTCTTTCCCCATTTCTTCAAAGAAGCAGCGTAATCCTCTGGATTGTAAATCGGTGGGCGTTGCTTATCCTAGAAATAAGTTATATCATGTGGTTGGAAATCATTGTGACCGTAATTGGATGGAATATGAAGGTAAAACCGCAATCAATCGCTTCAGAACGAAATCGTTCGTCTATAGATCGCTAGCTAGTACTTGTATTGATCTTGTAATGAGTTCTGTTAGTAGTTCAAATAGTTTTGCTTACAATAGCATTCACACGGCTTCAAACAGTCATTATCTTTATTCAGGTTATCTGACTTCTTTGTTGTAAGTTTTGGAAAGAGAAATTTTAAAGACGCTTCTGAATATCATGTGAGCTTATTGTTAGTTATAATAGTCTTTTTAATGAACCTCAGTTTTTAAACTAGTGCTCAAATATTAATTATTATTATAAGTTATTTTAATTCGTTTATTTTTATTTTTTTCTTGGTCTGTCAAAACATGTTTTTAAGTTTTTTATTGTTTTATAATCTTATTAGGTAAGATAAGGTAAATAAAAAAAAATATGTCTTCCATTAAAAATTTTACTTTTTTATTTTATTCATTTCCTCGTCCAACTAATAACGTTATTTTACTATTTCCTAACACAATCTCTATAAAAACTAGTAATACTAGCTATGCACTAAGTAATATTTATCCTTTTACAAAAAATAAGCTTCTTATACCAGTTCTGTTTTGTTTCCAAACCCAACTTGAAAATAACGGTAATAAGGTCTTAGAAAAATATGAAAATTTAGTAATTTATTTGGAAAAACAAACGTATTTATTAAATGTTATTTAAGTCAACGCATTTATAAACAGCATTCAGTGAACAATACTTCAATGTGAGAAAGTTTTATTAGGTTTTGTTCTGTTGGAGAAACTTTAGGAAATGTCTACTTTGAAATTTTATTGATGATTAAACTTTATAGGAAAATTTTGTTAGAAAGCTTCTTCGTCTAGATTTTATCATTTAAATTTATAATATTATTAATGTATTAATTCATTTAGATATATGATAGATAGAAAAAAAAAAGATATTAATCAAAAAAAAATTTGGTCTAAGTCATTTGCATAGCAGAAAACTATTGGGTAGATTTTATTTAATGAGATCTAAGATTTTCGCGAGTACTCATTTAAATGAAACTAATATTTTCGGATTTACTTCGAGAATTTTTTACTGTAAAGTAACCGAAACGTCGGGAGTATGTAGTTTATAGTCAAAAATAAAAAAAATCGCGTTGTAAGTCCAAAAACATTAGTTTTATTGCCTTAATATATATTTACTAAGAGAAATAATACAATTATAATTATTACCAACTGTACAAATATTTACAACTTATTACTTATTATAAAACAAATCATTATCTTTTATTACTCGGTGTCAAAGAAACTAGTTATGTTTCTGACTTGTTTGCATACAGAATTATAAAGATGGAGACATAAATTATATTTGTATTAATGATATGTAAATTAGAAAGGCGTTAGGAATTTTATAGGATATATATTGAGACGTTGTTCTTGGTATCTCTTTCTTTTCTTATGTTTTGTTGATAACGCTGTTCAGGTTAACAGGATTTTTGGTTTATTTGTGATATTTTTATAAATTGTAATAAGATTATTTAAGAAATGTTTAATACTTAATATTGAGCTTCGTAATACGTTAAATAACATAATTTTTGTCACCATTTGATATGTTATGCATTGAAAAAAAATATTTGGTTTTCAGATTTCACATGTACCCTATAAAATATCTACATCGCGTGAATAGTTTCCTTGCCACACACTTGTATACTTTCGATTCATAAATATTGAGTATTAAAGTATGAATATATGAATGAATACTATCTATACAGAATGACGATGCAACTCATAGTAATTAAACGTTTATACTCCGATTTTAATGTATAAAATTTTCTTTATAGCTTTACCATTGTATCCGAACTAAGTAAGCCTTAACGATTATATATCATTCAGACTTTTGCGAGTATTCATTTAAATAAAACTAATTAGATAGTAGATGACAAATAATAAGACCAATTGACATTCATTTCATTGCCCTTTCCCTGTTCCCACCCTTTCCTACCATTTCCTTATTCCCACCTCTCCCTATCCCTGCAAAACAAGGTTGGCAACGCATCCGCAACAAACATGTTGCGGATGTCCATGGGCGACGGTAACCACCTTACATCAAGTGGGCCGTCTGCTCGTTTGCCAGCTTTCACATAAAAAAAAAAAATTCACATCTCATCTGTCCGTGATCACGGTTGCTGAAAAGTAACTTAACGTTGGGACTTGGGAGTATGCAGTTTAAAAATAATAAAAAAATCGTAGTAAATCCAACAATATTAGTTTTATCTAACTATAGATCTTCTAATTGGATTATATAATACATAATTGTAGGCCCGTTATGTTTTCTTTCTGTAATGTGCTATTGTTCTATGATTTTATCTTTATGTTAACGAATGTTTTTGACAGCGTTCCTCTATCATAATAGTGGGTGATGCAGAATAACAATTGTTAAAGAAAGCTATCTTATTAATTATTATATTAAACAAGATTAAAATATAAGAATGAAATTAAATCAAAGTGAATTTAATTTTGTTTATACATTTCTTTGAAACGTGGTTTCATTAAGAAAATGCTTTTTAGTATGCTGACATCAAATATGGTTATACGGTGCGTAGGCTATTATTCATAAGGCTTTAAACACGCGATAAAATTAGCTAGCTTGTAGGTCAGAACTATTTGATTTAGTTCATTAATATCTTAATTAAATTATATGCTTATAACGCGTTTGTATTTCACTACATACGGCGCGTTAATAGTTTTTCATTAAAAAAATTGACATACTATGTATATACGAAGGTTATCGAATGAGTTTGTCGTAAGAATGCTCTTTAGTCCTCAGAGCATTTTTATTTGAGGATTTGGATATTACGCCAGAGTGACACGGTTAAAAGGGCAGGTACTCTTGGCAATAGTTTGTTACGATCTACTTAGGTAGTTAGGTTTACTTTTGGGGTTTAGTGAGTACTTCTGGTCCTTCCGACTTTCCTCTAGGGTCAGAGGCAAATTATAAATCACGTCTCCAAATAAAAAAAGATCATGTACTGAGTAACTGGAAACGCGTCGTGAATAGAGTGGTATAAACTTGTGCTAAGCATACAGTATGGACGCGTCTATAAAAATTTATAAGCGTCTTAAAAGTTGAATGTACCGTAAGTATATTTAAGTAGCTTTTATAACTCAAGTGTTGAAGCACGTTTTGTTTAAAAGATTCTTTAATATATTTTCTATGAAGAAAATTGTCGTAGGAAACGGAAATTTTATCAATTAATTAAAAACAAAATAACGCTCAGAAACCATAGAAATGAAACTGAGTTTGTGTTAATATAATAGATTTTTAATTGACGTGTCGAAACGCGGTAAAATACTTATTGAAATGGAAAACATACGACCATCTGTCACGTTATAGTGCGTGTTAAGTTTTTTATAAACATTAAATTTCACGAACGTTTCCCCATTCAAAGTGAATTTTTATATGAATTGTTTGTAAACAAATAAGTAAAGGGTTGATTAAGAAAATCTCAAACTTTCTACTGCTCTTTTTTATTTACAAGCTAGATTTCGATATTTTCCGTTATATGTATATATAGCTTTAATGTAAACGAAAGATTTAGGTCATATAAAAATTAGATCCTATATTTTTAGTATATCTAACTTATCAGCTGTAAGAACATTATTTATCATTATAATTATTATTACCACAAGTTTAAATAGTACTACACATGTAGTGTTTTGTTTAATACTATGATATGTAAATATTCGTGAATACAAAACTAGAATGTATACATGTATGCGTGTATGTATACATCTTCTACCTGGCAATTTCCCAGCTTTAGCCAGGGTCTGCCTTACATGTTGTGAATAATTTTGGCTATTTTTTTTTACAACCGGCCGCCTGCCTGACATCATTCCTCTTTGGGAATGCATTGATCAGTGCTGTCTAAATACTCTTAGAAAGTACATATTATGACTCCGAAAAATCACATTGGTACTTGCCAGGGCAAGGATCGAACCCGCGCCCCCGTGCATGAGAGGCGGAACTTTTAACCACTAGGCCACCACTGACTTGTATGTATACATAATATATGTATGTATGTATGTATATACGTTAAATGGATATCATCATAGTATATTAAATCATTCACAATACATACTTTTGATACCGGCTCCTCGCTCCATCCTCCGCAGTTGGCCATGCCTTCTAATAGAGTCAGCTCGCTGGAACAAAACAAAGTATAAATTAAATATCACGATACCGTAAAGAAACATTAAGATAGCTCAAAACACTAACAATATATTAATGCTTCATAAAATATATTTAATGTCCATAAATGAACCGTAAGAACATAAAATGAATAAATGTCATAGTTATTATAAACCCCGGAGCACGTTTACGTCGGGAGCATTAAAATGTTCCACATTGAAATACAACGCCGCATGCGCCGTATACTACCCGATGGTTGAATGCATTTTTCGATTCAAATAAATATATTTTATGTCGTACTTGACTTTGTTGTCTTATTGGGTGATAGTTTTATTTAGTAGAACTACTTAGAAAGTAACAATTAATTATTACTATTAAAATAGTAGAATAGAAATGGCATTATGTTTGACATTCAGTGCTAATACACTCATTGAGGAATCTTCATGAATTGATTTGTTTTATGTGTGTGTGTGTCAGTATGTGATAGTGTGTGTATGTTTATATTAAATTTCTATTGTAAAAGTAATTATTCTTTTTATAATAATTATATGTACTAATTTTCCATATAAATTTTGACTGTTGAACGAGTCTCTTAAAAAGGTAAACAAATGTGTCGGTTCACGTAATAATAATAGGATTTTATATCAATATTTATATATAGCCATTTTTATTTATAAGGGTCATAAATTTATATATAATTCACATAGTCAGTACGACTGTACGCGACTGTAGGCACAAATAGGCGACTGTACGCGACTGTACATGACTGATACCAGTCTAGTGATGTTACTGTTCTCCCAATAGGATTTATGCACGAGTTGAATGAAAGCAATAAAATATATATTAACAAACATTAAGAGCAGCTGTTCTTTAAGTATCAGGTAGCCTAGAATATGGAATGGGATTACCATATTTGGGCTCTTAAAGCTATTTGACATTATAGAGAGGTACATACTATATTAAGTCAGAATATTTTCATTAAAACAGTTAAAATATTTATAAAAGAGAAAGTTGTGATAGTTACACTGTATTTATAATTCAAGATCGGATGTAGGGATATCGTTGAAAATTGGTGGAGAGATAGCTTAGAACCATAAGACGGACATATGATATTTAATTCTGTTCGATCGAAAAAAAAACTTAATAATTAATAACTTAATAAATCTGGTCATTTACGGGCGAAATAGAGTTCGCCCGGTCAGCTATACATGTATTACTAATTCCAAAATTAATGCGGACGAAGTCGCGGGGAAAAAATAGTATGTTATAAATAGAGTAATGTTTACAATAATTCCAGAGGTCTTTGTTTTGTAAAAAAATTGTATGAATAATTTAACCGACCACGTCCATAAATCGTGATAATGTTTTTCATGGTGATTCGTCAGATCGTGACGAAGGGTCGTTACTATCAATATTATGTTCAGTTAAGTCTCATTAATAGGACTTATGTACTCTCATTATAAAGATAAGTGTATTAGAATGTAATTTTTTAATAATTATATGTTAGTATCAAAACAACTGTGAATGCATAGACATATATAATACATATTTTTTGATATAGGAATCTTCTTTGATTCCCTATTAATATTTTTATAGAGGAATTCTCACTCTACCTCCTACATATTCGATATTCCATTATTGGAGACTTACATATTGAAAAAATATATATAATTAACAAAATAATAAATATTTTATTCGTAATATATGAAAAGTGATCTGCGTACATATGTAGTTGACATCGTATTATTATTTAACAATAACAAGCAAATTTAACTTATACACAAAATAAAAATGAGAGTAACAACAATATTTAAAAACTCCAAGGTTTAAAAAAATTTATATCGCATATTTATATATTTATCTAGTTATTGAAAAATTGTCATCACTATTTAATTATTTACATTTCATCTCTTCTAAAAAATATCACGGTTACTATAAAGTATTACAAATATCTGACAATATAAATCACAATTATATACGCGAAGAAAATCCTTAAACATTGCATTGTATTAAATGTATGCAAAAATATAAGCTTCTCAGATTTAATATTAGTCTTCTAATTCGATAGTTATAGGTGTATCAATGTACTGTAAGGCCCATCCACACTGGTCGGCTGGTCGGCTGGTCGGCTGGACGGCTGGTCGGCTGGTCGGCCAGTACATTTATAACCTAACAGCACTGTAATAGCCTTACGGGACCTGAAGCTGAGACGAATCTACGCCGTTGGCAGCCATTGTAATTGACTTTTTGTGACGTTTCTTAGTGTGGTGTAGCCTTTATGAGAATATTTATGTTAACTATTACATTCTATTAACTTAATGTATGAGATTAATATTCTCGTGCGCCTGTGATAACGTTTTCTTGTGGTGTTTTGATATATTTTTTGTTATATTATTTCCTGTATGTTTAGAGGTGGAGGTATAAATGTATAAGTTTTCTTAATATTTTGAATAATACTAATTAGTAATTATTAAAGTGAAATCGGTAGTAGATAAATACTCAACTATATATTTTCGTATTCTATATTACATTCATAGGAAAAGCGATTTAAAAATGTTATTACGTTACAAGACTTTGTTCTCATAATTACCAATAACCGAAAATTTTTCTCTGCTTATTTTGTATAATATAAATCGCTACCGCTTATCATTGTAACCGCGACCTTGGTAATTTACTGTACCGTAGTTGCCCCGGGACATGTGGAAGCTAAATCATAAGGCGTTTTACGGCCAACTACTGTTCATAAGTGGAATACGAGCGTGTCGTCGCTCTAATGTGTGAACCTGCCCTTAGATAGTTATATGATTTACCTATTACACACACACACACACACACACACACACACACAAACATAGATATCTAAATAGAAGGTAAAGTATATGAGTATTAATAAACAACATTAATTCAGATATAACAAAACACTAGTTCTCAGTATGTCTTCATAGTCGTGTGAAGTTTAAACCATTCATCATCATTGTAGAAATTGCGTAAGTTATGGCCAGGGAAAATGTTGAATTAATAATTAGGATTATTAATTGAAAAAATTTTTCTAACAAACTCTCACTATTTGTTGATATAGCAGTTTGTTACGAAATGATTTTTCCTACTTATAAACGCGGTCACAACTGGGGCCATCTAAACGACGTCTTATATTACAGAGAAAATAGTTGCCCAATTTATAATAACTTTCGTGGATTGCGTAAGTAATTAATTTCTAAAATGTTAGGAAGTAAATATCGGGCCGTGTATGGAAAGCGTGAAATTTGAGGGCTGTTCGTGAATGTGTGAAATGTGTCTTGAATTGTCATTGGTGGATTGCTTTTATTATTTGCTTGACAATTACGAATTTTAGCTTATAACAATGTTTAACGGGTTTATAGTACATGATTTTCATGCTTAAAAAAAATCTATTTTCTGTCTTTACGTAATTTTAGTGAAAATTAATGAAAATGTTTGGGAAATATATTATAATAAATCAATATTAAATAAACCGATGTGGTTTATATTAAGATAAGTTTTATAAGACAAAACATATGATTTTAGTTAGAACAATTATATATATATACATATATATATATATATATATATATATATATATATATATATATATATATATATATATATATATATATATATCGGATTAAATATTTTTTTTATGTATGAAACGCCTGTCTCGCTGACGTCATAATAGACATAGTTCTATTCTCCTTTTAAACAGTCCTTGATTTCGTCTTACTTTTAACAATAATCATGATTATTAATAAGTTTTTCTAATAATAATTGATGACAGGCTCAAGTTATTTTCATGTCTCATCTATCATTAAAGCTGATAGCGACTATATACCATTATGTTTTAAGAAGACATGATAACTTGAAATCTTTTTATTTCATTGATGTTTATGAAAGAAATTGTATTCATGTTTTAATATGAGGCAACTTAAGTCTTCAATGGAAAGAAAACAATATTTGACATTATGATTTTTGTCATTTTCAATTCAACGCCATATTTTATTTCGGCTAACTCATCATAACTCTATCCATATTTCTATTATAATAGTCTCTTGCCCTCAACTTCGTCTGCGTTGATTTTGGAATTAGTAATATATGTACATATAGCTGACCGGCCGAACTATTTTCCGCCATAGAGGCCGTAAATAACCGTATAAGAATTTGTTAAGTATTTTTTTCTTTTTCGATCGAACAGAATTAAATATCCTATGTCCGTCTCCTTGTTTTAAGCTATCTCTGCACCAATTTTTAACCATATAGCTACAGCCGTTCTTGAGTCATAAATAGTGTAACTAACACGACTTTCTTATATACATATATAGATATATAAATAACTATATGTTTCGTAATGTAATATTAACTTCTTCATAATAATTCCATACTACATACAATATTTTTACGTGGTATTATTCTGGGTGCATGTTAATATGCATTTTGTTTTATTATGGGTGTCTCGATTCTTTCTGGAGGACCGTGGGAAGTGGGAGCTATCCTTCTATAGTGATGAACGATGTGGTATCGATAAAAAAATGTTATCTTTTATTACACTATTACGATCTTTAGCTTGACAGAATCGCGTTTCAGAAATAACACGTTCCTTTATTAAAAAGCTTTTTATTCATTATGTGTTTTTTTATTTTGAGGTAAAATAAAGGTATTTATAATAATAGTTATTTAAAAAAATATATATTGTACTTTTGAAAACATCTATACGAACTTGATTTTTATTAAACAATGTCTTATTGAATTTACAAAAAGACTGTACATTTGTATGGAGATTTTATTGATCGATTAGAAATTTCTTTCCACATTCTAAATGTATAAAATAACTGACATTTAAATCGATGAAGGCCGAATCATCGACAATGAAACAGAAGTCACTGTTTCCTAATGATGTTACCGTATCACGTACAAGTTTTGATTGTCGGCAGAACAAAGTCAATTTTATAAACACTGTAAGAAATTACAGTATGAGATATATATATACAAATGATGTTTTTAAAAATAAAAATTGTTTGTGATTTATTTTGTCAAGTTACAATCCTAGACTTTGATACATTTTAAATACACATTTTTAATTACTTTCAATGAAATTATATATTTTAATATTTAATAGAAAAAAACTACATATAAATTTATTTATTTATTATCCATAATGTGTAAGGAAATATAAAATATGGAAATATTGATATATAAATGGCGTATACTTATTCGATTGCTTAATGAGAATTAAAATCCAACATCATGGAAAAAGACGTCATTGTCAATATGATATCAAAGATTTTCGAGCACAAATTTAAAATGAAACTATATTTTTCGGATACAAAGTGATTTTTATATTATTAAAAAAATAAAAATAATAAAGTTGCTTGGTCAGTTCCGAAAAACTTTATTTCATTTCGAGCCATGTTAATAACAAATATATATTATAAAAGAAAACAAAATAGTCATAACAAAAACGTTCAATTAGTAGCTCTCAGACATATGATTGCGATTATCTCATAAACTAACTGCCAGCAACCAGATTACGATGGAATGAGTATATCTACAACAGAACTTCTCAATACATTACATATATTTAATGTAACGTATATTTTTCATTTTATGCTAAGGCTTCATTTGCACTGGAGTCGTGGAATAATTTGTCAAAGTCGACGTGGGCTTAAAATTATATTCTAACGAATGTTTTACTTGCCAAATTTTTAACAGTTTTCATATGTTTGTTACACATTGATCGATATAAAGTTTGTATGCTTGCAGTTTAGTAGAAAATAATTATATAAAAATAATTGGTTTTAATGAACCAATTATTATTAGTGGATGTACCACTACAACAATGGAATTTTCTTATTTACTTACTCTCAAAAATGTTTTAATTTAAATATTTATAGGGAAGCTAAGAAATTTCAATAGAAAATGAGACTAATGTAATCAAACTCTCAAAAATTGATCTGAGTTTTGTTATCTATCTGTAACACTTAATAACTTTTAGCCGGAGTTATAGCTTACATCATATATTAGACAAAAATTAAAATGCCTATTTTAAATGATTCAAAACTACTGCATACTTATTGAAATAATTGGACTTACATTGAATCTAAATATATATTTAAATGAAACTAATATTTTTCCATTTATACTGCGCGTATTATTGTAAAAACTGTATTCTCCCGACGTTTCGGTTACTATTCCGTGATACAACCGTGATCATAGGCGAAATGTCGGGAGTATGTAATTTTAACAATAATAAAATACGCGAAAAATACGAGTTTCATTTAAATGAATACTCGCGAAAGTCTCAAATCTAAATATATGTTTGTTTGCAAAAATAATTGTACATGTACAATGTACGTAATTATAATGTTTGGGAAGCATATACACAGACCGGTTAAGTACATGCACCTTGTTGGAGTAAGTGTTAATATTACATTAAAATTGCTGCAACCGTCCGTCTATGTACTAGAAACATAGGAACCGCAGACCTATGTATGAAACATTATTATTATAGAGGGAATCTCTTATGTATCACTAAATTAAAATTTAATTCTAAACTAATTAACATATGTAACAGTTGAGAATAAATTATTATTTATTGTTAACTAGAAGACCTGGCGAACTTCGTATCGCCCTATAATCTAGAATTATCTATTACGTTTTATTATTTATATTTTTGGAGTTTACATGTAAGCCATAAATCTCCGTGTTTTGAAGTGCGACAGAATGATTGACATATTAGTTAGTTGTCAAATCTAATGTCAAAAAAAACGTTTGTATGGGAAATAGAAAAGGGCTGTTTTTATGGTTTTCCCAGTAATGAATCAATTTTTTTCAGCTTTCATACCTTCCCTGAACCTCCACGAACATTTAAAGACTACGATAAGATAAATCCGTTCAGCTGTTCTCGAGTTTTAGCGAGACTAAGGAACAGCAATCCATTTTTATATATATAGAAGATACACGAACAACATTTTATGTAACAAAAAGATTATTGGTCGATTATGATCATTTATAAAAGCGTAAATTTTCTAGAACCTGATTTCCACGAAGATACATGTGGCTGCTATAAAATGCATGGTTCTGCATATGCATGCGAATGCAAAGCGTTATCTGACGTCTCGATTTATTGCCAGCAAATTGAATATAACAGAAACGTGTATACATTTCATATGAATTAATATTCTTCGCTCAGAGAATACATTAACATGTTTTTGTTAATTAAAATTTAATATAACTATATTAAGAAGAGTATTAAGGGACTTCTTAGAAGGTAAGTTATACCTAATGAGAAAATCATCTTCAACTTCTCACACTTAAGGCTAGAAGATTTATCTCAATGTGATCCTTTTAAAGCTTTCATTAGATCTGAGTTCGTATCACGTGCATGTAAAGCATCACCTAACAAGCCATTAGACATGCCTCCATACATAACTGTCATTGGAACCTGTTCCCGAGTACTTATTAGATCATTTAAGTAAATTTAGGCCAAAAAAAAATTAAAAATTAATGCTGTGATGTAAAATTTATACGTTTTCAGTATCAAAACCATAAAAATATTAATAAATATTTATTTCATAATTCAACTATTATAATTATTATTATACATGCGACTTTTCCATCAGAAAACTTTGTTCGCTATTGATGAGAAATGAGAATTAATTCAAACTATTTTAAAAGCTTAATAATTAAGGCA